AAACTCCGCAAGTCACCTTGAGCCAAATTGTCTTTTATTCACGAACTAGGGTCAATTTCGCAACCTACTCACTCGGACAGATATTGTCGTTTCCGTGACGTAGGATTGAGACGACAGATGAGCCGATGGACACTAAATCCTCTGGAAAGTAATCACGTGTAAATGAGCCTGTGCCTGGTCTGGCAGTAAAGCCGAGCTGAGACAAAAACTAAAGTCGGATTAAGAAGGGTCACTTGGGCTGGAGACTATTGCAGAGGCCAGCCATAGCAGCCAAACCTATTTGTGTGAAGCAAAGTTGGGTTTTAACGAGTCTCTTGACTCAAGCGAGTGTGTGTGTATGTGTGTGTGTGTGTGTGTGAGAGAGAGAGAGTAGGTGTGTGCATGATGAAGATGGTCAAAAGTCGATCCCACCCGAAGATGATGGCTCATTCTTAATGCCGTCGCCAAGGCAATCTGCTTCGATTCAGGCGAAAATTGTCTACGTTTCCATTCGTTGAAGCCCGCAAAGTTGTAGGATTGTTACGTTATGATGTGATTATTTTTAACATTTATTCGATAACACAAACGGACACATGAACATTGGCATATAACTTGAGCTGGCGAAACAATAGTATACTTCATCGAAATTGGCGGTTGCAGAAACTGTACTCTGCTCTGAAGATGTTCGTCTGTAGATGAATGTGATTGTCTCTTGTACAAAGTCAACCAAAGGGTTCCAGTAAATTAAAATGACAATTGGTCCTCGCTTTCGTGCCTCTACATCCCCCCACCCCACAAACACACACGTACACACACGTACACACTTTCACGCGAAATGACAGTGGTCTTAACAATTGTAAATGGTAATCTTGTGTTTGGTTGAGTTCAGGTCGTCCGGGTGGTTCAGGCGTCAGGAACCGGGCGATGGGCATAACAAGCTGGGCGTTGCCGTTGGGAGAAAAGTCGATTGCCTCAAGCTCCAGTTGAGTTCAGGGTCAGCCGTTCTGATTGGTCGAATGGATGGTTTGTGGTTCTCATGTTGCTCCCGACAGCATTCAAGGTCATGTTGGCGGTGAAGGGCAACCGGTGGCGTAGACAATCGGGCTGACAGAGCAGCGCTACGGACCGGTTGGTCGGTGACCCAGGCCCATGTGGTCGTCGGGCGTGGTCTGTGCCAGGCGAGACGACAAAAACAGGCGGGGGTTCAGGCAAAAGTACCCAAAAAATGTCATCTTGCTCAGGCCCCGGAGGAGGAATACCATCTCGACGAAAGGGGCAGCAGAACTGCCCCGGTTGACAGGACTGGCAGGCGAAAGGACTCACTCACGCATGTCGCTGTCCCCTCGCCCCCCGAGACAGACCGACATTCTGTACGCAAACACGCACGCACACACACACACACAGACACTTGTGTGACTGTATGCTGCAAGTTGACCTGGGGCCGCATCAATCTGGGAGGATCGCATGGGCTTCAGTCTCCTAGTTGGCAGGGGACGGTATCAAATCGTGTCATGCCGACGCGGATGACCCCACAACTCGTCACGCTTGACTGGTGCTCTGAGACAAGGTCGCCTGAAAAGAGAATATCCTTCACATGTCGGAGCTGAAGAGGCTGGCGAAAAACATGCAGGGGCCAGCAATGTGTGGTGCGATGGAGCATTTGAAACCGGGCCTTTTGTGGCAGTTGCTGTAACAGTTGCTGTAGCGTTTGTCCGCCGGCTCTGCAGCGGCTGAGCGGAAAAGAATGAGGGTCGGCCAGAAATGGACCAACCTTTCTGCCATAAAAGTGATTTCGCCAACATGTTCGAGTTCGGCGTGGCTCTTTGCCGACGTGGCCGTGTGAGGGGAGACCCTTCTTCTCTGAAATCGCTCACAGGTACCATCAACTGCCGGGCTTGTGTGAGTAGATTTTTCATGTCGACAGACAAGTTAGTTGGTAGCAATTGGTGAATTGGTTTCACCGGAAACCAAAGGAAGATTGTAAAAGTGGGTTGACCTCGTTGTGACAACTTGGTCTTGTTGTCAGGGCGACTTAGTAGAACGCAACTAAGCCGAATTCGTCTGCCAAATTAGTTGTCATGATTGCAAGAATCAGACAGTGGACTAATCGGCAGCAAACTAAGAACTCGTCAGAAGAGACAAACTGCCGCCATACCAAAGGTCACAACATCTTGAGTTTCATAGCTTTGTCGGGTTGCGCCAAGAAGTCCCATCACCTCAATAAGGCATTTGTATTTTTACATTTGTTCCGTCGTAACAGAAATTGACCAAACAAGATACCCTAATTTAAGAAATATTGCATTAACTTACTAAATAGGGTCCCATGCTCGTTTTGGTAAAGGCTGCCAAAAAGACAAAGAGGAATAGTTTTTTATTCTGGAATATCCATTTATACGATCTAATCAAGAGATAGACAATGCAAATCAACTGAGTATAGAATACGTTTAATAGGGAAGTTATAAGCAGTTAGGATGACTCATGCATGGATTAAGAGAGATTGAACCATGTACAGAAACAAGCTGATGCAAATTATGACGATTGTAGGCATATTCATACATTCAATACTACTGATTTCACACAAAAAACTAGTCACCAAGACAATACATACGCCCTGTATTGTACAAGCTTGACGTATGCGTTTGGCAGGTTGCCTCATTTGCCAGACCAAATCCACGCAAATGGGATCAGAGCCTGGCATTTACAGATGCCTAATCTGATCTCGTTGTTAAGGCATTAGTCTCCACCTCTCCGAGTATATCGTGAAAAAATGAGAGTAGATCTGCAGATCTGGAATAGAAATCCGAATCACCCTTGATGGCTTAATGGAATGAAGTTCATCATCATCATCATCATCATCATCATCATCATCATCATCATCATCATCATCATCATCATCATCATCA